GGGGGGGGGGGGGGAACCCATATCAAACTCTCTCTTTTTTCATCTTTTTAAATTACATCTGAATTTACAAGACACGCATCAGGTTGTAGTAGGGTTGTAGAAGAAAGAGTAATATCTTTATCTGGATAATACAAATTTCCATAATTCCATAGTTTGTAGTGAATTACTGTGTTTTAACAGTTCAGCTGATCTGGAAGGATAAATGATGGGAACTAAGAGAGAATGAATTCTGAGGACTTGCAGGGTCCTTTGGCACCTGGGGAATGTGAGGTGGTTCCAGCTACAAGTGCAGCTTTGCATGATGATAGATGTGAATTGTAGGGTTGACAAAGAGGACTTAAAAAACCAAAATATGTGAAATTCATGAGGCAGTAGCTGGTGAGCGGTAGAAGTTGAGATTAGACAGAGGAAGATTTGTACATGTGAGACTCAGGACAAAGACTGGATTTTATTTTATTCGAAAAAATAAAAGAGAGGAGAAAAAGACCAGTAGCTAGTAAAATTGCTAAACTGGCAAAGCAGCATGTTTAGAACAGCAAATGAGACTTTAGCAGTGGGTTCTCTGTTAGGAATATAAGATAGAAAATAGATGGTATGTGAAAATACTGTAAAAGAGTGGTGATGCACTGAGGTTATCTGTTAATTTGGTAAAAAACTCTAAAAGAAACTCTTCAGAAATAGTTTGGACACATTAATTAGCTAATCCTTGTGAAATTTTATGAAATAGTCATCATGACAGGTAGTAAACAGTGGAAGAGAGTGGAATTAACTTCCAAGCTCTTGCAGGCAGTAAAATTTATCACAATTGAGAATGTCTCATAACTGCTGCTAGCTTATTTACTGGTAATTTTTGTAACACGGATAAAACGTGGGTCCAAGTAACCAGTCTTTATTCCTGTGGTCTTGTCTAACATGGGCTTGAATGGATAATGCCATGCGAGTAATCCCGTTAGATTTAATGGAATTGTGTGTTGACAGTAAGTGTTGCAGGGCCCAAAGCCAGTGTGCTGAATCCTCCTGCAGAATAACCAAAATAGTTTGAAAATTGAGACATAATAGTAATGGAGGTATTAAACTAGAGTAGCTATGTTTTTCCTAATTTAGTTGATATACACTTTAAGCAATATGTGAAGCTGCCTGAGAAATGCCATTTTCCATCCTTAGAGGAGTAAAAACCAGGCACAATAGGACATATCATGTAAATTGTGGTAGGAATACTTTACAGAATAATTTTGAGCATTTAGAAATGTTTCTAGCTTCAGTAGGCATATTTCTGTTTTTTATTTCTCTAAGGAAGTTATAACTGCTGAAGCTTAAGAAAGTGTTCAATGTTGTGAGCTTAAACAACTGTAGAAAACTTCCATCATTACAGAAATCCAGAATTCTTGTCTTGGAAAACTGCAGGTATTTTTGGAAGATTCTAAACCATTCAGACTTGCTCATGGCAAAATAAAATTCAAGAAGTGAACGTATCTTTCCTTTTCTGTCTTCCAAAGTCATTCATTAGGGGAATAGCTACTGCTGCAAAAGATTCTTGTCGTCACCCCACACTGAGAAAAATTACTAGGTTGAATTAATTTTTTAAAATATTTTTTATGTACGTTATGGTCATATCAGCTTTTTCTGAAGATACCGGTACATTATTACTATAATGAGCTCTGACTACATTTTTTTCTTGAAGAAGGCAAACAAAATCTTTGCTTCTGTTATTCTTAGAAAGATACCATACATCCTAAGTATGTTGACAGTGTTGCTCATCAGCATGAAATTATTTGCTTAATCATAAAGGGAAACACAGACACAGGGTAGGTACTCTTCCTGTTTGCTCCTTATATTTCTAAATTCTGTTGCTACATGGGTGTTTTCCTGTGTCCGTCAAACTCGGACTTCTTTCATTTTTGCATTGCCTCTTTCTTTCCACACTGTTTTTACTCATTGGTTGTTATTTGATTATATGGCAGATGTAGCTCTGAGTTGTTTCTCAACCATGTTTTTATTGGGGTGCCGGGCATTAAGGAGTTGAGCATAAATACTAGTTTGACACTTTGATCTTAAGCACCATCTAACACAGTGAGTATCCCATGCTCTCAGCACTGGGAGGGTTGAGGGGAGAGCTTGCAAGTAGATGAAGAAATACACTGCACGGATTGTTCAGTGTCAGAACCCTTACGGTTCCTTCACTAACCACATGAGAAGAAATACTGCGTTTGAACTCAACTTCGACAAGCTCACAGCTGCAAGAAAAAGAGATTATCCCATATTTAGTGGTTACTCTACCTCCTTAGATTGGCTGAACCTAATAAATAAGCTTATTCTTAAGAAAAAGGTTCTTCTAAAAATAATTTACAGTCACTAGAAGAGTTTAGCTTGGTTTTTCTTTATGCAAAACAAAACCTGAGAATTTCTGCATACATACTTGCTAAGTGGTGGCTTTCTGTTAGCCATTTACTCTTTCCACAGAAGTTAATGGCTTTTCTTCTTTTTTTGTCTTTCAGATTTCCATATGTGGTCAAGTAGATGTGTTTGTTTCAGCCTTAAAATTGCTGATGCCAGTGCTTGCTATGGCATCTGTGGCTTCACCAGTTATATTTAAGGAGTTTTGTCCGTTATATTATCTTCTCAATGCCATTCCTACAAAGATCCAGAAAGGCTTTCGCTCTATTGTGGTATACCTCACAGCACTTGATACCAATGGAGACTACATTGCTGTGGGGAGCAGTATTGGAATGCTTTATCTCTACTGCAGACATTTAAACCAGATGAAAAAATATAATTTTGAGGTAAATAGTAACTTTTGCTCTTGTCTCTTTAATGAAACTGGGTTGCTCAGAATTTAGCTGCTGTTTGTCTTTCACTTTGTGAGTGTTATGTATGGTTTGTTTCAACAGGGGAAGTGTGAATCTATTACTTTTGTAAAGCTGTTGAGTTGTTTCGATGATCTGGTTGCTGTTGGTACAGCCTCAGGTCGGGTTGCAGTTTTTCAGCTTGTGTCTTCATTACCTGGAAGAAACAAACAGGTAAATCTTTGCACTTGGCTAAACTTCTTGAGGTTTAATATGGCAAATCCTAGTAGACTGTTATTGTGATTCTTTATAATAGTGAAAACCAGAGAATTTGCCTGATGAAATAACTGTGAATGTGTTTTATGCTTCATATGTTAAGCTTATAAAAGCAGTGATCGTAAAGCATGCTTTTCATTACAAAACATGTATTTAATCAAAAATGCTTTTGAGAAGTTCCTCATTTGTAATAACTGTCTGAGCTCTTTGGTGGTGGGTTTTTGATTGTTTAGGTTTTTTGTGCTAAATACAAATAAAAATGGCCTGCGCGTTTGTACTCGATTTCCAATTTATCAGTCACTGAATAGTTTTTGTGTCTCCATTTTTCTCTTTCCCTCCTTGTAATGCTTTTTGTATTGTTTCACAGCTTCGTAGATTTGATGTTGCTGGTATCCACAAAAGTAGCATTACAGCTTTAGCTTGGAGTCCCAATGGAATGAAATTGTTCTCTGGAGATGACAAAGGAAAGATTGTCTACTCTGCCCTAGACCTAGACCAGGTGAGCATTTATTATAGAGACTTTAATTCCCATTTACAGTTTCCTGAAAGAATGCTTATGTGCTTAAATATTTAGCAGCTAGTTAATTGCTTAGTATCGTGTATTTAGTTGGACTGCTTTATTGGCATGTGTATGCTTGGCCAAGCGTGCACACACCCAGCAAGGCAACCATTGGATAGTCTTCACAACTGCCTCACCTTTTTTTAAGAAAAAAAAAAAAAAAAAAAAAACCTTTTTTTAAAAAAAAAAAAAAAAAAAAAAAAAGTGGTGTTCCTTCTCATTTTATCATGTTTGTTTGAAATAACTATCATTTTTTCCTTCAGCTTCCAGCTAGTGCTTTCTCTTTTGTTTGGAAAGGGTACTTTTGAATGATGTGACATTACTGATTCACTATATTGATGAAGTACTTTTTTCAGAATCATTCAACATTTCAGTCTAGAGTGTAGAATGAAAGTGATTATTTGGGTTCTGCTGGGTGACTAGCACGTTACCAGTAAATGGAATTTTTCTAGTGTCTTGTTAATACAGACCTGGGACATCAACAAAATAGTAACTTGAATTTCTGTGTGGGAGAGAAGTTTAAACAACTACCGTTCTGATTTACATGTGACTGTGCCTCATTTGATTTGACAAAAAGGTTCAACATCTCCAAATTTAATGATTGTCTCAGCATTGCATGACCTGGCAGTGGAGAAGGAAGAAAATGTGACCTAGAGTTTCTGTTGATTTCAAGTGAAATGTGCTAGGTAATACTCCCAAGAGAAACTGAATTTCATAGTGTGCCCCTGTGGCACACATGATGTAACTCCCCTTTTGTCTGCATAAAGGAACTCCACAGTCAGTAAGTGAACTTTGTGCAACTGTAGTTCAGAAGCAGTTGTCTTCTCTTTCTTGGGCTTATTAATTTCTTTGAAGCATTAACTGTTACCTTTATATTTTTGGAAAGCTTGACTGTTGTTAATTGCATGTATCTTTAAAAGGGTGTTTGCAACTCCAGCCTTGTATTGGAAGAACCATCTTCGATTGTGCAGTTGGATTACAACCAGAAAGTGCTGCTTGTCTCTACTTTACA